GGGGGGGGAGAGAGAGAGAGAGAGAGAGAGAGAGAGAGAGAGAGAGAGAGAGAGAGATTCCGGACGCCTGCATCGCCGAAGAATGCCGTGTAATGATGCTGCACATCCGGGACGACGGTTGGAACACCCTGCCCTGCGCCTCCCCGCGCTTCCCATCTCCTTGCCATCGTCATCGTCGACGCTCTCCGCTCGCCGTCCTTTTTACTTTGTGCATCCACCACGGCTTCCGAGACGCTTCTGTGGCGTGGTGTGGTGCAGACCGTGTGGCCGAGTGGCGAGAGGAGTGCGGTGGCGTAATCATTCTCGAGAAGAGGCTTCTCCACCTTCCGTCGGTGCAACGCCGAGGCGAGGCACGGAGGTCCTCCGATCGAGCGGGAAAGAGAGAGAGAGGGAGGAGAGAAAGAGGAGAAGGAGCAGACCGGATTCCAGCTAAGACCTCGTCATCGTTCTCCGACACACAATCGACGGGATGCACGCGTCTGTCTGTCCCGATTCCTCCTCCGGAACCGAAAACGTCGAGTAAATCGAGACACGGAATCGGCTGCGAGCACCAATTCTTATTCTCTAGAAATGTGTCTTCAGGTCGGGTCGTGACCTGACAATCCGGATTAAGTACAGTCAAACGTTCAGTTGTACCACGTTAAATTATTGTCTTAACTATTATACAAAAAGGAAAGAAAGCCCGGATTTGACGAGTTACATTTGAATGTTCGGCTCATCCGTTCGTAGGATTATCCGAATCGCATTTTCATATTCGAGTATTATCCTGATCTTAGAAAATAATTCGGAATTTCCTTCCGGGAATTATCCGAATAATCTGCATATCTCCGAATCTGAGTAGTCGGATGATAATAATTTCAACATTCGTATATTATATAAGTTGCATTCGGAAGGGAATTATATAAGTTAATCGTAGGTTTAAAACATATGCTGCTTTCTATGCAGATCTGCAAATTATTGTTTTTTTATAAACAATAGCAAGCAATTGTTCAAATTAAATTTAGAACTGACCATCGTTTTTGTTACTACAAGGTGAATTGTTTGTTTATTTCGTGTTAAGTTATGTCTGGTAACATTCTTAGGCATGCCCGATTGTCGTCAATGAAATTAATAAGAGAAATCCGAACGAACTCGTCGGAGAAGGCGATCTAAATGCAAAACTTAGGAATTAAGATACCTCTGACGTTCGAATCGTCGCACAGAATGCATCGTGTGAAGAGTGGTTCCGTCCAAAAAAAAAAAAAAAATATATATATATATTTATCATAAATTAAGTCGTCTGCATTATTATTCATGAATGGAAATTTTATATTTCGCAAAAAACGTATTTACTTCTTCACTACAAACGTGTGTGGAATATTACAGAGAATATTTGTTCCGCGACGGGAATTAGTTTATCAGAAGCGTGAAATCTTGCATTAAAGGTTGCGAAATCAACTAAAATTATATATTAACATCCATTTGTAGGATATTCATTATTTATCAACGTAGCGTGAATTTTGCTAAAAATACTGTCGATTATTTCGTTATATGAAATCTTTCGTTATACAAATCTTATTTTTTTGCAAAAGCCATTAATTTGATATGATGTTTGTGCATTGAGGAAAAGATACTTGGAAATTTATACAAAATTATATGGTACAAAATTTATCATTTCCGTGATATAAAGTATATTTCTGAGAAATAAAATTTGTTTCTGTGAAATAAATTTTTGTCTTACAAATAAATTTTCAAATATTTTTTTCTCAATATAGGAAAGTTTAAATTTTCGTACGTTCTTAAAGAACATATACAGTTTATCCATATAATTGAATGGTGTTAACTATCATGTTTTTAAATCCAATAATTATGTTTGATGCGAATTTTCTCTCAAACCTATTTTCTCGGATTATTCGCGGTACTTTACGACAATGAATTTGAATGACATGGTTAAAAGTCAATGTTTTTGAACACACTTTTTTTAGAGATATAAAGAAATCTTAGATAGTAGCTTTATAAAATGGTAATGCAATGAAATCAAAATCTGCAAACAGATTTGCACTATTTTGAAATTTTCCCACACTTTTTACTGATGGACGGTCGTTCGGGTCTCACGGATAACTTCAATATTGCACGCGAAGAGAGAATTAATATGAAATTATTTCTGTCGAGAGGAACATTGAGCGCAAGTTTGCAATTCAAAAGAGCACTAATTGCGGGGACAGTTATAATGACGGCAGTAAACGCCTCTCTCGTCCGACGTTTGCTCATAGTCTTCAAAAGATAGAATGATTCAAATAACGAAAATAAAAAAAGATCATGCTCCACGAACTGTTATGGGACGTATAACCTGTTAACGATAAACGGCGACGTTTAGCGTTTCCAGTATCTCGTAATTGATAATCGATGGCGCGCTGAGTGAGGTAATGAAGTGCGCGCGAGAACACTCATTAATTCCGCGGTCGGATACGCCGATACGGTGTTACTCGGTAACATCATGTGGACACGTGCGAAATTTCAGCGGAACGCGACGGCTGACGTTGGTAACCGATTGCGAGGAATCAGGAGAGTAAGCGAATTCAAAGAATTACTCACCGCCACGATAAAGTCATAGCGCCAGGAAGGAAGAAACACGAACTTCGGCCGATGACGAAGACTCGCAGACGGATCAGTTCAAGATCGCGATGTCCTAGATCTAACAAAAAAAAAAGAGAATGTTAATGTGTAATTATTTCGTACAGTAATCACAATATAACAGAATAATTCTCCGTAGCTGTAGCGGAAATAGACGCATGTGGCGGTAACAATACGAATATGGATATCAAGGACTGAAATAGTGTAGTAGGACTGTGTTTTACACAGAAAGAATTTTTTTTAATTACTGTAGAATTTTATAACTATTCTCTCTTAAAATGAATCAGTCAAACATCACTGAAAACAGTGAATATACACTGATTTGCAGTTATAAATACAGCACTGAAAGTGCTCAGTGCTATACTTATAACTGACATCAGTGACTATTCACTGATTCATTTAAGAGAGTTCAGTAACAACTCATTCATTTATATGCATTTATACCATATTCATTTATATATCACAGCATTCATTTATATGCGCTACTTACATTTCACAGACTGAAATATGCTATTAAAACAATTTGCTGTATTTCTCATAAAATTCGTTGAATTTTTAGCCACATTTATCACGCTCTTTAATAAAATAAGAAAATAGACTGACAGTCTATTCCTGCACTACAGAAATATAGCAAAATTAGAAAGGATTTATACGGAATAAAGAAACTATAATATTCTCCCTATGTACATTAACCGAGAAATAAAGAACTCAAGATGACAATGCGAGCGATAATAAAATAATAATAAAAATTAACTGGATCTTCAAGAGTCAAACCACGGTAAGAGAATATTTCTTTACTAAGATGATTAAGTATTAATAAATAATGGTATATAATATTTATTTAAAGTTCTAGTAATCTCTCTTTTCCTCGAGGATAAAAAAAGAGAGAACCGATAAAGAGAGAGAAATATTTATGTATAATTATATGGGAGAAGGATAAAAACGAGAGAAAAATTGCGTTATCGTTGAAAGCCGCGGCTCCTGGCTGTCGTCCTCTGGAGATGGACCGTCGGCGTCTCGCGCGAATCGACAACGTTGCTCAGTGGACGCGAACCGGTACTGTTGCACGATTAAAATAGCGCGACGGACATCGAATATTAATTCGATAGCCGCACGGTGTATCGAACGCCTTAAATCACGAGCGAAACTTCCTCCTCCTGGGGAGGCGCGGGGAATTCCGACCGGAATCGACGACGGGCTCTCGACGATCGATCGATAAGCGCGGCGAATTATATTCGGCTACGAGAGCAGACCGGCTACGGCCGGAGCGCGTAGGAATTTAATTTGCACGACGATACCGCCGCTTAATTTCGCCGCCCAAAATTCCGAGACACCCAGAAACGCGTAAATAGATCGGCGATCGCCTCACGACGGAGGACTTTAAATACTGCCTAGACGACGACGACGATAACGACGAAGACGTCCTACCAGTTATTTTTGCTATTTGCTCTTGCCCGACCGATTCTCAGAAAATATTCCGGTTGCGCGAGCATCATCGCTACTAAAAATTAGTGACGCTGGATTGGTCAGCTGAATTAGCTCGAAAACCGTGAACACGTCCGCGATAAATTGTGCGCTTGTATCGATGGCCTGAAAACATTTCCGATTAATTTGCGAATGTTTCCAAGCCATCTCGTTAAATCGAAATCCTCAGGAGACGCAGGGATCAGTCATTTATATGAAATAATAGTCGATAATGAACTCAGTAATAATTCATGTATTTTAGAGAAAATCCAAAGTAGAATTACTTTAACCTAAAGAAATGTATAAAATGTCTGTGACATAAAGTGCCGCATGCGTTTCTCGTTGCCTCGTATATATATGTAGATTAGATCGAACTGAACAAGAGAGTTCTCTACCGTTTTAGCAAATAACGTAGATTTTTAGCTATCAATTAAAGAACATTGGTGCATTATCGCGCACGCAGTCATCCTTCAATTTGCTGTAATTAATAACTCAAAAATCTACATATTGTATGAGACATTTTGCGTCAGATCTCCCGTATATGAAAAGTAAAATTTATGCATAAATCATTACTTGCACTTCTCATTATGCACGAATGACGTATTTAAATTATGTTGATTAAAGCAGCCAATAATAAATGCAACAATAATAATAGTAATCAATCGTGAACTTTCGTTAAAATGCCAAGAGCCGATGTAGCAACCGAGAAATCAAATAATTGACTGATTTTGCTCGTAAGCGTGCGACGTCGGTGGTACGAATTAAGGCGTATGCACACTGTACTTAACGTACCACTTTCACATTAACGTATATTCGGTCAAATCGTACCCCGCGCGCACTAATCATTAATTGACAGTCATCATCAATGTTACAATCGTTAATCACGATGGCGATCGTCATGACAGATCAGTGTACCTTTGATTAATTGATCGATTTAACGATTGATATCGTCCTAACTGACATCTGCGATTTTATTTCTTTTTAAAGGGATGCTAAAGCTGAAAACTTTACCGACAGAACACTGACATTTTTCTGCAAAGTTTACGTCGTATTGGTTATATAGAATTACAGATGCTTTTACGCAATGAAAGTATGTGCAAAAATAAATAGGAGCATTGCTCGATATGTGAGAAAAATAAACAAAAAATGTTTAATGTAAAATCTCAAGCTGTCAGTTAGCGTAATATTTGCTTAATCCAAAAGTTTCGCAGTTTATACATATCGAAAGTATGGATACTCCAAACAGAAAAATTTTGAAGAATATTGCTTTACTTTCGCATCTCCACTTAGAAGCTTAAGAATATCGAGGAAGTTTGCAAAAAGATTTCTACATATATATGTGTTAGGTTTGCCGTTGAATATGGTAAAACAAAGCAACACACATTCATGTAAGTTTTGTACATACAAGAAATACGAAAAGGATAGCGTGAGTATGTTAATGACGATCGTTTCTGCATTATTGTTTGAGTTCGTCATCGACTCCAGCATCCCCTTAATATTAAAATATATTTTATCGGGATACAATCGACTTGACGGTGGTTGTCGTAATCCTTGGTGAAGGAAAAAGAAGCAAAAGAAATTATTGGATTTAGATAATGTTACTGGAGCAGAAATCTATAAAGGAGTTATGTCATATGTCGTTTAAATAATTGGAGGATAACGGAACTAAATCTTACGGAAAGAGAATGACGCGAAATGCAACGTCAAGATATTCTCGCTGAGGATACTCGACGTTGAGTGTCGGGTTGCAGTCCGGTTTCGCGACGGTTAATGAACATCGCTCCATTGGAAAGCCACATGGGAATATTTGACGTTGCGCTGACGCGACGGTGACGTGTGAACGGTGACGTTGGGCGGTGACGTTATAATGTGCATAGACCTTTAAGCTAATCGACGGACCCCCAGCCAGCGACGTTCGAGCGAACGCTCGTCGAAATGAAGTAAACGTTTTAACGACCACATGGAACACGCGTTGCGCCTATGTGCGCGTAACATTTCCCTTTTCCCTCTTTTTATTTCAGTACAATCTCCTACCGATTACACAAATTAGTCGTCTCGAGGCGCGCCGCCGCTCAAGGAGCGATTCGCAGTCCGGCTAATCGACGCGCTCACAGTCCGTGTTCTTGTTGGCTCAACAACCATAATAAGCCCACGATTACCACAGTGATAATATACCACGCGTTCCTTCCGATTACTTACAACATCACTCTTTACATCCTTTTTTATCGTTCTATTCTTATTCTACCTTTTTTGTCTCCCTTTGTCATTCTTTCCGATTCTCTCTTTCTCTCTCTCTCTCTCTCTCTCTCTCTCTCTCTCTCTCTCTCTCTCTCTCGCTCTTAAACGTTCATTTACTTTTCGACTATTCCGAAGAAACAATTTAAAATTTGTGAAATTCAATTATCGCGATTAACATCAAGCCATGGTCCTTCAAGATCTTTCTTTCTTAACATATTGTTGAATACCAAAACAACAAAAATATACATTTGGAGTTTAAGTCGGAATTTGGCCAGCTTTTTGGGGGATGTTTGGATATCATTTCAACTCGGAAAGAGTTTCTTGATGATAGGTTATAAAATTCACCAAAAGTTCGTACGAGATCACGATATCTCGTCGCTTTACCACATTTGTCACGCCGCGCGAGATGTCCTCGCGCCCTACTAATTTCTACTTAATTGCTACATCTTCTTTCTCTTCCCTTCGCTTATTTATATCTTTCAGCGCCCCCGGGGGAATTTTAATTCAGAATTTTAATGCGGAATGTCCCCTTTCTTTAATAATTCACCTTTATTTTTCGTATCTCTTCTTTTTCGCGCGGTGCTCGCGTTTCTTATTGTTCTCCGAGGAATTTTAATTCCCGGCACGGAATAAGTATCACCCCGTGTATCTATATTGATCTCATACTTCCTCTATCTATTTCGCCGCGTCTCTCGTACCGTTCTATCGTCGTCGTATCCTCTAGAACGGCGGTACGTCCGACGCGGCGACGCGCAACTCCGCCGGTGCGATAAATTGCATATCGCCCTCATTAGGCTCGCTTTCCACCGTTTCTCGTTCGCGGCGCTCGCTTTTGCCGCACGATTATTACTGGGATTAAGGCAGATTCCCGCGCGATATGCCCCGTGAAATAATGTTTCTGACGTTTCCAGCACGGAAACATTATTTCCTAACTTATCGGCGCGATGTTGCGCAACGTCGATCGTTATCGCGGATTATTACGTGCCGTATTTAAATGACACTACGGCTGTCGCATTCGAAATTATTAATTTCGCGGTTGCCTAATTGAACGGGATTCGCGTGGAATCGATTAAACGGATTTATCGCTTAACGCACGAGCGCACGCGCGCGCGCACGCGAATTCAAGCTTAAATCCTCTCTTCTCCTTGCCTAACTCGAATTTATTTTTCAACATGTCCCGTGATTTATTCATTCGGTCGATGCGTCGTGATTATTCATGATAATCCGTCTGCATCTCGTCTATTTGATTCAGCGAACGTCTCATTTGTGATTATTCCTATTTAAACCGAATTATCCTATTATAAACTTCCCTCACAATTTTATTATGCAGCTTAATATGACAACAAGTGAAATTATTTA